TGTGGCAGCTAGATGTCAAGTCAGCCTTTCTAAATGGGCCACTTGATGAAGAAGTATTTGTGTTGCATCCTCCAGGTTTCACATACAAAGGTGAAGAGCAAAAAGTCTTAAGGTTCAAGAATGCCCTCTATGGCTTAAAACAAGCCCCTAAGGCATGGAACAAAAGAATAGACTCATTCCTCAACAACCCTGGATCTCAAAAATGCTCAGCAAAACATGGTGTGTATGTTCAGGTAGTTGATGAACAGGAGCTACTAACATTGTGTTTGTATGTTGATGATTTGGTCATCACAGGAAGCAGTCCAAATGGCATGGAATTAATCAAGAGGAAACTGAAAAGTGAATTTGAGATGGCTGACTTGGGTGCTCTATCCTACTTCCTAGGATTTGAGTTTGTGTACTCATAAAATGGCAGCCTGCTCAGCTGCTTGTCAAGCCTTATGTTTGTCTGCACTACTCAAAGAATTGGGGCTATGGAATGAAGAAGCAGTGGAGTTACTGGTAGATAGCAAGTCAACAGTTGATTTGGCCAAGAATCATGTGTCACATGGTAGAAGTAAATACATTGACACTAAATTCCACTTCTTTAGAGACCAAGTAAGCAAGGGAAGAATCAAGCTTCAACACTGCAGAGCTGAGGTACAATTGGCTCATATATTGACCAAGCCCTTGAAGAGTGAAAGGTTCAAAGAGTTGAGGAAAATTATGAGTGTACTGTCTTTGTAACAGTTTTGAATTAAGGAAAGTTATTAAAATAACTCAAAATGTATGTGTTAGTATCTATTCAGTGGTTATATGCCATTTCTCCTGTATCATGTATAAATACCAACTTTGTTAACAAGTGTATAAGGCTTCTGAATAATAGAATATAATTTTACTCCACAAACTTGTTTTCTATCATAGAATATATTTTTACTCTAACATTTCCCTTCTCAAACCATGTAAGGTGACGAGAGTCTTGAAGATATGGTTGTAAGAAATGAATGTCATAGGCTTACAGTTGTGATTATGATCACTATTCTACACTTTCGTTGATGAGCATAGAGCTTTCAATTATGAGTGCAGATACATACTTAGGGGTTACACAAGTGCAGATCCATACAAAGGTGTTCAGTTTCTTCTCTCATGACTCTGAGACACTAATGTATCTTTTGGAGCATTCTATGTACTAGGAGGTCATCCAAGCTTACATATTGCATGTTGTTGGATGCACTACTTTGATAGATATGTCACATGTATACATTGATTTGAGGTACATATCTTAGTCAATTGTTCCGAAAATACACTTCCCATAAAAGCGTGCCCTTTTTTTGTTTCAAAACCATGTATACTTGACAATCTTTCAAAATCTAAGCAAGTGAATTCATGAAAGCATTTGTATCATATTTTTTAAAAACACAACACAAGTATAAAAATATGTAACACAAAAGTGCTATAAAAATGTTCTTAAAAGGGCTTGCAATTAAAACATATAGAAAATCAGCCTTTTATTTTGTGTTTGCAGTGTCACTTGGTGTTATAGGATGAAATTAATTAAATTCACAAAATTATGATAGAAAAATTCCAAATATGTATTGTGTACTACTCTGCACTGATTTTTTAAGTAAAGAAAAGTTTTTGAAAAATCACAACTTATTTGCTTATAATTTTTATCAACCACAGATCTTTTATTTTTTCCCAATTCTTTTAAATTCGCTTCTACTAAATAAAGTATAACTCAAACAAAATAATATGCAATCAAATTCTTACCTAGTCTAGAAAGACACGAGTCACATAGTGTGACTGCATGTTGCTCCATCACCTTTTTAATTATTGATCACAGTCATAATCACAATCATCTTTGTTAATAGTAGAGTCACTATTCAAACCATCTTCAATATTCAGACTTATTTTAGAGGCTGTCATGAAACTTTCAATCTCATTCGAAATTTCTTCTTCAAATAATTTAGAAGGTAGATTGTGTGCAATTAAACTATTTTTACGGGATAAATTTTGGTCGATGATATGATCAGTTGAACAATCTTCTACATTTGTATTGAAACATTTTAATTTTAATGCAGATTTAAGTTGAACATTATAGATAATTGGAGATCCATAAATCATACGAGACTTCCAATCATAAATTGTATCAAAGCATAAATATTTTTGTTAAATAATTCATAATATTTAAATATTGGACATAATTAAGATGCTCAGTTAAACACTACACATCTAATTCTTTATAAGACAAAGGTAGGAGCTCAATTGAATCTTCAAACATGCTGATAAAACAAAAATTACAAAATTAATCGATATAACTAAAGAATACATAATCACTTAAAAACACACAATGTAGAGAAGAGAATTTCTATTACCAAAGCAACTTTTGATCAAGGTATATGATTACTTGAACAATCTTTTAAATTTGTATTGAAATGGTTTAATTTTAATTCGGATTGAATCTATATGAATATCCATAATACATAGGATATTCCGAGACGTAATCTATATGAAAACATAAATACTTTTGTTAAACAATTCAATTTCTCTAAATTAATAGCCAAAAAAAATGATCAATTAAATATTATATACCTAATTCATTATAAGGCGAGGGTAGGAACTCAATTGAACCTTCAAACATACCGATTAAAAAGAATTACAAAATTAATCAATCTACTTAAATAATAAATAATCACTTAAAAACATAATTGTTATCTAGACATAATTAATAGCAAACATCCCAATGTATTGAATAAAAAATTTACTTTAACTCTTTTTTTAATATAATCTTATATTTAAAATATGTTGGATATAGGCTCCTTATCTTTCGATATTATTTATTTTTGTTGCATAAAAAATGACAGATTGATTTAATAAAGAATTTAATAATTCTTTTATACAATAATACTAAATTATATATATATATATATATATATATATATATATATATATATATATATATATATGAGGAAAAATGATCAGTGGCTGAACTTGAACTATTAAAGAGAATAATATATATATCTAATATGTTTTGAATAATATTCTCATATTTTTATGAACTTTTACATAAGAATGGCTGGCAGAAGGTTCTGTAGCTTCCAACTAATTTGTTATCAATAGAAATGAGGATGTCCTCCAATTGCTCAAGTGAATGATCAGTGCCAATATATACTCCATGCTCAGAAGGCAAAACATATTAGATTCAACGACTACTCAGAACAATCGAAGCAGCAGCAGTCACATGACTATGACGATAACTATGCGAGGACGATGTGGATGTTAATTGTTCAGCAGAGAATATGCGGAGGAGGCGAAGGTGAAGCAGAAGAAGCCTAAGGTTACGGTGGCTGAGGCTGCAGCAAAGATTGACACGGCTAGTCTCAAGGAACTCAAAATCCATAGGACAAGAGTAGTAAGTAAATATTATTGGAACTCAGGAACCCTGAATATTATTCATTCTTTTTTTTTTTTCAATACATATTCAATTATACTTTTTTCAGCCCAAATTGCCTCCATCACTATGATTTGTGGAAGTCTTTGATAAAGTCCTCTGAACAATGCTACTACCACTTGACTTCTCTACCTCCTTCTTCTCCATCCTATACAAATCGCCTCTACATTATCAACACTCCTTAGATTAACTTGAAAGGTTTATTATGCAGTTTAAGATGTAGACAAGTGAAGATGTCTTAGAGATAAAAGCTTTACAATGGAATTTGGTATCACTTCCAAATCAGTGCAGGAACTCAGCCTTACAAGTTCTAAATTCTCCCATTTTCCAATTTCTTTAGGAAGTGCAGAAAGCTTGTAATACTGAGTGTCTTTAATGGGTTGATATCACAGACTCCATTAGGAAATACCACCAAATCTTTGCATTAACTCTTCTACATCAATTGAAAGTAATTCACTATAGTTCTTAATGACCTTGCCATAGTTCTGAGTGTCTTTAATTTCTGAGTGATGGTCTTCAAATTGTATGACTGCATCCAACCAAAACCAAATTAAAAATAGTAATATTAATTGCAAGTTTAAGAGAATAAAATAAACTAATTAGGCTTGTTCTACAAGAACTACTGTTAGGAACAGGTGTGCTGACAACAGGTAAAGTTCCACCTGTAAGGAGATGGAGAGTGCTTCAAAATCTGTTTCTGGTGAGACAGAGGTGCATAAGGTATGCTAAGCAGTAATGAGAGACTAAAGCTCCTGCATCGATAGCCAAGACTGGTAGCTTAAGCACAGACGAGGTAGTTACTAAATTTGGACAGATGAATAAATCATAAGATATATCTGTACCATGTCACTTACGGTTTTTCTAAACGTAGTTGAGGATTAGCAACATGTCAAGGAAATGCCATGCCAACAGCAGAAATTTCCATACCACTAGGATGCTGTTGCCTCCAAATTTAGTAATTACTGCATCCAACCAAAATAGAAATATTGATTGCAAGCTTAAGAGAATAAAATAACTAATTTCTAGGCTTGTTATAAACGGGTGGGATGACAGCAATGCCATACATCCTAACAAACCTCATATGCTTCGAGTACCAATCCAGGCAAAGTAATCTTTAACCTTTTCTTATCATCAGGTTTTGATATTTATCATAGAGTCAATTAGTGAGAAATTTGGCACGGTATTATATACATTTTCTATAACAAAGAAAAGAATCCATTCTAACAACAATTGTAATAAAGTAAAACATTAACTACAAATGCCCTTTTTAAATTTTCATTCAGCCTTTCCCACATTCAACAACAGCCTAGTTTGAAACAATAAACCAAGTGCCAAATATAAGCTATGAAAATTTAGAGAATGACAAGTTTTTCATTTAAAAATGTGGATTTCAAATAACATACAACCCAAAGGTCTACATTGTTCAAAGTAGAAGCATAGTTCTAAATATTGAGAAACCTAATGACCTATAACCTTATACATCTGCAGTATTGACACAAATAATAAGACAAAACAACAGGCTTGCACACAAAGACAGTGGCAAACTAGTACTAGTATCAATGTATGAAAACTAAACATCGGCCCGACAGAGTGGACACGTTTGTCTGATATTAACCCATTTCTGAATACACTCAGTGTGAAATATATGAGAGCAGCGCAACCGAATTGGCGTGGAAGAAGCATTAGACAAGTGAACAAGACAAATGCAACAGATGGATTCTGCATCTGTTGTTGATGTTGTAACATGTTCTTGAACACCGATCACAGGGGAAGAAGAAGCTCTAGTACCATTGTTGTTGTGGTGGAGATTAAATGAGCGTGTTCTTGGAATGTTGTTGGTGATAGTAGAATCATAGACAAGAGTTTCATCTACCACAGACACATTTGATGAAGTGAATCTTGATGAAAAGTTGTTGCGGTTGTGAAACAATAATCTTGTTGGAACGTTGTTACCGTTGTGAGACAATAATCTTGTTGGAACGTTGTTGTGGTTGTGAGACATTAATCTTCTTGGGACATTGTTGTACATGTTGACAGACCAAGGTGGTGGTGGTGGTGTTGTTGGGTGGTGGTAGTGAGACATGGTACGAGAATCAAAGAGAACATACACAGGGTGTAACATGTTGCCGTGGGTACGAGGATGTTGTTGACCTAAATCCAAGATAGCAACATCATCAACAAGTGCAAGTGGAATCAACATTCTTGTTTCTTACGGCAAACAAGACAAATGATGATCGTAGACAGAGTGTTGTGTTGAAAGAAAGAACGATATAGAATTGATTGTAAAGAGAGTGAATGAATGTTAGAGAGAGAGCGCGCGCGAGAGTGAATGAATGTTGAGATAGCGGGAATGCTTATTTATAGAAGGTATCGTTAGACAAACTTTTGTGACCGTTATGTGGGATCAAACAAACCCTAAAATCCTTAAAATTTGTCATTAATGAAACAAATAAGAATGTCTTGCCTCACAATTCCAATCTCTTTTTGGGCCTCATTTTTAATGTTGGTCCAAATTAAAAGAGGATTTAACATCCCACCTTCCAATTATACATGCCGCCCCATATTTTATTATTTCTAAAATCTCCTTTTCACTATTTACTCTGAAAATTTTATGTGTCAAAAAAAATTATTATCGATCAAAGTGGGTAAAAACCAAATTTCTGGTACACTTATCAAATTTTCGGTACCTCAATTTTGACGTATACCAGAAATGCTTTGCATTTTACAAATTTTCGGTTGCGAAAATATAAGAAATTTCTAAATTTTTAATTGAAAAATACCAGAAATTTTTAAATTTCTGAAACAATTTCCAAACACCATTGCATAAACTGAAAATTACTCAAATTTTCGTGTTACCGAAAATTTCAGTTATGACTGGAATTTCTGGTATGCTTGCAAATGAATTTTGTACATTTGTGATCCAGAGCCGGCAACTTCAGCTTCTTCTACGGATTTATGTACTGATGTTACGCAGTTCTTCACCACAAATACCATATGACTTCTATTGAACTTACACATTATTATTTGTATGTCGACCTTAAATAAATTGATGAAGTTTACTAATTATATGTTGTTGTATTTGGAAGATTTTTGAATCCCGACCTAAAGTTCTAGAATGGACACAATCTATTGGTAAAAAGCATGGTATTGTTGTTGTTATAATTTGTTCAGATTGAGCTAATGGAATACGAGGGAGGAAGGATAAATTCATTATTGGTTGTGATATAGGAGGAAATTTCAAAAGAAAAAAGGAATTTGGGTTCACCTTTGATGGCATCTATACTATGAAAGGTTTGCGTAGGAAGTGATTGTAGTTTTTCTGGGTTCAAATATGTATGACAATTATTCTATTTATATATTAAGTCGGTTAGTTGATTTAGTGAATAAATTAGTCAAGCAAATGTTAAAAATTGGAGAAAACTACTCCCTGTACTACTAGAAATTTGAAATTTCTGGTTTTTTTGGGACCTACCGGAAATTTTAAAGTTTCGGTACACATAGGGAAGAAAAATATCAAAAATTTCAAATTTTCGGTACCACATAAGCCACAGTAAAAGTTGTAAATTAAACGAAATTTCAGATGTTCCACCGAAAATTCCGGTGCAAAACTGAGAATTTCAAATATTCTGGTATTTTGCAGAGACTTTTCGGTAGTTTTTCCACTGAGGGGGGAGATGTTAAATCCTCAAACTAAAAGGTCAATAAATAGAGAATTATACCACATACCCTACACTTTTTACCCGACACCCCTACATTTTAGATAATTCGACCAAAGTATTCATTTTATTAATTTTTACCATACTTTTAAAAGACTGGTATAAAAATTATTTTTTTCGCAATTTTCTATAAGTCCAACATAAAAAATACTACATTTGTTCCTTTTTATAAGAGACAATTCACTTTTTAGGTTCATTGAATAACTAATGTATTTGGACAGTTTATAAACTGATACATTAACTATTCAATGAACCTAAAAATTGAGTTGTCTCTTATAAAAAGAAACAGAGGTAGGCTTATGCTCGCTTCCGATGCGACATGTAACACCCTAATTCTACCCCAAGCAATTATGCAATTAAATCAGAGTTATAAAATTTCAATCATACAAATGAATCGGGACGTCACAAATTCTTCTAATAAATTTATTGCATTCATCATGGATATATAACACTTTTTCAAAACATCAGATAAACCATCAACATAACATCTTTCAATAAATAATTCAACGACTACGCAGCGGAATTCTTCAATAACATCTTTAAATAAAACAACAACTTTGAAATATCTCATATTTAGTAAATAAACAATTTAAAATCCAACAACTAAAATTCAGCAATCAAAAATCAGCAAGCGGTCATCCCCCGAGTGTTACATATCAGAGCAATGACACCGACTCGATCTATTGAAGGTATACGGCCTTCACTATCGATTACCTGCACGTTACCAACATAAGGGCAACATTCAAACAGAAGGGGTGAGATATCTAACAATATAATAAAGCGCATGATAATTAATATATTAAATTAGATCAATAATATCACCACTTCTCATCTCATAATCAACAATAATTACAGCATATATACTCATTCATCAACATCAAATACACTTCATTATTCAATCATATAATGCGACTCAAAACTATGCAAATGCATGTGGTACCATTGGAGCAGAACTCCCATCTCAAAAATCTGCCAATTAATAGAGGCATCAACAAGGCATACCTTCATCTCAAAATTTTCCAATCCAGGCCATCTCAACGAGCATAAGCTCCATCTCAAAAATGCAATGTATGCGACTCATCATGAATGTAATAACAACACCCAAATTAACAACATTTCAAATAATCTCAAAACATCTCAATTAACATCTCAAAACAACAACATCTCAATCATCTCAAAACATCTCAATTAACATCTCGAAATAACAACATCTCAAAACAACAACATCTCAATCATCTCAAAACAACAACATCTCAATTAACAACATCTCATAACATCAAAATAATTTATTAAACATCATGTATTTATCAAACGTCATTGGTTCATCATAATTATCAAACACAACTTTAATAACCACATCTCCCTAATAACTCAGTTGTATATCAATAGTACAGTAGTCCATACTGTTATTCTGCGATTTTACAGTTTTACTGTCACTAATCCTACTGTCATAATCCTAACAACAACCTCTAAAACATCTCATGTTCATCATTCTGTCCAAAACATCAGCACAACGACCAATCACGGGAATTAATCCTAAATTCTAAATTAGTTACTAGGATTACACTTCTTATTCATCATCTAAATCATCTAGAATAAAGTTCATCGCGTTAACTCATCAATGCTTCGAACGACATCTCAAACAGCATCCTAAAACTCAAGTTATAGCAACTTAAAACTGATTCTATCAAAAATCAGACCTTATGGGTCGACACGAAACCTTATGGGTCGACTCATCCTGCTTCATCTATTCACTATGAGTCGACACATCCTCCTTATGGATCGACTCACCTTGCTTCAAATCACAGCATGTATCGACACATGCACTTACCGATTGGCTCATCCTGAGTCTTGCAACTAACATGTATCGACGCAAGCCCTGCATGCATCGACTCATCCTGAGTCTAACCTCGCCCATGTATTGACTCATCCAGCTTGAGGTCGACACATACTGATTCCTCCTGCATAATTCTGCGATTTCCTCTGTATTTTCACTACGGGAATTCATATTACAGCCCTACAAACCTTATTATGATCATGATAATTCATCACTTAACATTAACCTGTAATACTACATCGATTACACAGCATCATAACATCATTATTCATCAAGAATTCATCAATATTCACCATACATCATTCATAACTCATCTAATTCAAGAACAAACAACAATTACATCTAACCCCACATATCAAATGTCATGAACCCAATTATAAAGGCAGAACTCCACCCTTACCTTGAATTGAAGGTCGCTCTATAATTTCCAGGTTGAATCTTTGTTCTTGCCGTTTTCCACTATCTCCAAGAGCTTCACGTTCTCTTTCTCAATCCTTATTTCCTCTACTGCTTCCTCCTTTTATTCTTCTCACAAATAATAAAATAACCTAATATTATTATATTATTCTTATTGGGCTTAAAACCTACACCCCCTTTATTACTTCCACTCACACCATATAGGCCCACATTAAATAATATTAGCTTCTAACATTATTTCACCATATAATAATATTATACCTCTAATATTATTATTTCTCCACTTAATAAAATAAATTCAACTTAATAACACTTCTTCACAAATATTCTAAAAATAATTTAATTAAATAATTAATTAAATTACGGGCGTTACAACTCTCCCCCACTTAGAATATTTTCGTCCTCGAAAATTTATCTCAATCAAACAATTCAGGATAGGAGTCTCGCATCTTGCTCTCTAACTCCCAAGTCATGCTTTCACTAGCAGCTCCTAGCCAAACCACTTTAACCAAAGCAATCTCTTTGCCCCTCAGAGTCTTTATTTCACGATCCGCAATCCGTACAGGCATCATCTCCATCGTAAGATTATCCCGTACTTGCACATCGTCCATATGAATCACATGAGATGGATCTGAAATATACTTCCGAAGTTACGACACATGAAACACATCATGCAAATTCGAAAGATTAGGCGGTAAAGCCACTCTATAAGCAACATTCCTCACTCTCTTTAAAATCTGATACGGTCCAATAAAACGAGAAGTGAGCTTCTTAGACTTCAACGCTCGCCCAACACCAGTCACAGGTGTAACTCTCAAAAACACATGATCACCAGCTTGGAATTCTAAATCTTTCCTTCGCTTGTCATGATAACTCTTTTGTCTACTTTGTGAAGCTTTCATCTTTTCTTGAATCAACTTCACCTTCTCGGTAGTCTCACAAACAAGTTCAGGTCCAAGCACTACACTTTCTCCAGATTCATGCCAACATAACAGAGTTCTACATCTTCGACCATACAACGCCTCAAAAGGTGCCATCCCAATACTAGTATGATAACTGTTATTATAAGTGAACTCTATCAATGGAAGATAAGTATCCCACGAACCTCCCTGCGCAAGAACATATGCCCTCAGCAAATCTTCCAATGATTGAATAGTCCGTTCAGTCTGACCATCTGTCTGAGGATGATAAGCTGAACTCAACCTCAACTTAGAACCCAACGCTTCTTGC